TCACATTATCCACGTCAGCCGATACCTAAGATAGCAATGAGTAAAAACAATTGTGATATTACAGGAAAATGTGATGAACAAAAACCAAGACTCCAAGAGTACCTGGACATTAGAATTAATAAGATTATCATGAGTATAAAAGAAATCACGCCGATAATAAGACAATCATTTTAAGGATAATCATGCTGAACAAAAGGATCCACATATGTATGAAGTTTGCAACCTAACACAATTTTATGCCATGGTCATTTTGTGGGGAATATGACATGGTTGGAGAGTTATTCAAGATATCGTATTTCTTCTAGTAATTAGAAGAATAACACTTTCAACTATAATGCATTGGCTTTTGGGACTTCCACCTTACTAAGCAGCTGCCTTTAAAAGCAATACAGACACTATGACACATCTCGTTAGTGATGGAGGCATAAACCCCTATAGCATTTTCTATAAGTAGGTATTATGATCTTTTGACAAAATACATGATCTTAATTCTTAAAAGTATCTTACTGCTTCAAGCAACAACTGCAGATTCGCCACTGCTATTATTTCTAGATTTGCAAGGAACCCAGCCCTAGTTGCCAAGCCAGTAGCATGCTACCATCCCATGAGAGATGCCAAAAACCTTTTCTGTTCAAATTATTTATACTGCAACTTATCACCATCATTTCAGACTTGTTTAACATGAATATTTGTTTGCAACTTTGTGTTGCAATTTATCTTCATAAATAGCAAATGTTAAAGAAATAACTCATAATTTTATTCATGAATTCTTTATAAAGAATATCTATCTGCAAACTTATTTAGTAATTGATATTCGTAAATACTGAAGAATAATTAATTTTAATTCACAGTTATAACTTTTACTTTTTATTTTAAATGAGTAATAATGACTTTTATTTAAGAGAAAGAGTCTTGTGCTCATGTTGTATGACAATATAGTTTTACACATACACATACTTGGGTATCTTCTGATAATGCCTCAGCAACCTGTAACTGATCAGTTGAAAACGATGATCCCTCGCCCTCGCCACCAGGAACAAGGACCTTCTCTGATGCTGCAACTCTAAAAGAAGAGGGTTCGGATTCATGTGAAGTATTTCCGGCAAAGATCTTCCCTGCAGACAAGCACCAAACTGGTTAAGTTTCTTGGAAATACCAAGCAAAGCAAATTAGGTCCAGAAGATATAACTAACTGATAAGAAAATTCATTACTGCAAATTAGTCATAGTATGGGTGTTGTTATCAAACAGAAAGGTACAGAGTAAAACATATCCAGTAGATTTTGATTACTACCAAACTAAGTAATGGAGATTCGTTTTCAAAAAAAAAAAATAATAATAATAATAATAATAATAATGGAGATTCCAGATATTAAAGATAGATTAACTAAATTGTTTTTTTTTTTTAAATAGCATTGCCACTAAAAATCTCTAATCCAGCCAGCATAGCAGAAAATATAAAATATTCAGTGTCTTTAAACAAAGAGAATCTATGCAATTAAATAAATAGTTGAAAGACGATCGCTTTCGCTTTTGAAAAAAGCTCTCAGCTTTCATCATTCCTTAAATTGAAACTAAAAGGGAACAGAAAGATTAAAGGCAAAGTTAACAGTCCCGCTGGTATCAAACATTTCTAAACCAAAACTATAGATTGATCGCACGCACCACGATGATATCAAATTCCAATCAAAGACGATAAATCTACGAATAATCAAAGTTCCTAAAAGCATTTAAAAGATTTTCTTTTCGGCCATTGCCTTTCTGGTCTCATAAAGTGATAAAGGCATAGAATCTCAGGAAACTCAAAGATGGCCGGATCAGAAAACACAGAGAGAGATAGAGGGAGGGAGGGTACATGAAGAAAACGAATTCCTTTTCAGAGCGAGAGTGGGGTTGGCATTCCGCCGATCAGCGTTCGAGGTCGATCCGAGATGCTTGTAAACCGGCGCAACAGCAGGCAAACGGAGGCCGGAGAGGGTGTAAACCATATCTCTCTGCCTTCAATTTCCGAATCTGGAAAGAATTGAATCGAGAAAGAGAAGAATGCGGGCGGAATCGTTTGCTCCTTTCACAAAATCTGCTGACTTACACTCTCAAAGTGGTGATTAGCAATTGCGCTCGGTTCAAGGCGCCAAGGCCCAAGAGTATCGTGATGAGAGAGAGTGAGGTGGCCCCCTTATGACGGCAGCTTTCCAGATTTTACTAAGTACTCCCTCCGTCCCAAATTGGTTGTCTCATTTGCTTTTTGCACGCTTTTTAATGAATTAAAGTAAATGCTATGTATTTTCCAATTATGCCCTTCACTTTTTCACTTTTGGAAATAAAAGCAAAAGTCATAAGGGTAATTTGGGAAAAAGTAGAATGATGGTGATGTTCAATTTTGGAAAGAGGACAACATTTTGGGACAAACTAAAAAGGAAAGTAAGACATGCAAAATGGGACAGAGGGAGTAATAATTACATATATTTCCGGAAAAATAACTCCTCCAAATCATTTGATGGACGGTCCAAATGCAATTTACTACTCCGTACTTTTTTAAATAAGGTAAATTTACTAATTTAATTTTAAATTCTAACATTAAATTATATATTTTGTGCATATAAGAACAAACTTAAATCGGTGCGTGTCCAACATCAGACCCGACTTCATTAGAAACAAATTTTAAACGTGACTTCTCATTCACTAAAGTAATATTTAAAAAAAATAATAAAATATGATTCTTATATTAAAAAGTTTTAATTATTTTAATACTAATTCAGTCCATTGTCATCATCTTCATCTTTATAACAATATTATTATAATATATCACCAAAAGGAAAGTATTTTTATAAATCAGCAAGTATTGATTGTTATTTGAAGAATTTCGAAAACAATATAAAATTTTTATATTTTTGTAAAACCAAAAAAAAAAAAAAATGTATCACGTGATGTGATTTCATAAACATGAATGATTAATATACTTTTTATTATATTAATTAATAAAATATTAGTAGAAAGGGTATGCCACGTGTGAAGAGGTGGCATGCATGGGATGAGGCAGAGGGGCCACAGGATGCAGTTGCGTCGTTAATTTTAAGAAATATCTATCAGCTGGGGGCGGGAGCAGGGAGTGTGGGTGGGGACCACGTGATGGACAAAAGATGAGAAATGAAAGGCTCAGGAAAATTTATGATATTTGTTATTGGAGTTAATACCCAAAATCGTCCTCGACTATAGTGGTTTTTTTCAATTTCGTCCTAAACGACTTTGGTGACCTAGTATCGTCCTAGACTTTTGTGTTTCGCTCAATTTAGTCCTCCATTTGTTATTCCGTCAAATTGGTGTTAAATTTAGGGACAATTCAGTAATGTCAATATTGATCTCTCTTTACTTTCAACTTGTGAAGTGCGAAATTTCTCTTTCTTGTACGAATTACACTTAGAATTACTCCCGGACCTGCAAATCAAAATTTATATTTGCAGTTTTAGGAGTAATTCTGGGACTAATTCGTAAAAAAACAAAGGGATTTCGCAGTTCACATGTCTATGAGTAAAGAGATGCCAATATTAAAATTACTTAATTGTCTATTTATTTAACACCAAATTGATAGAATAACAAATGAGGGACTAAATTGAGCAAAAATACAAAAGTATGGGACGAAATTGAGCGAAACATAAAAGTCTGGGACGATATTAGGTCACCAAAGTCGTTTAGGACGAAATTGAGAAAAACCACTATAGTCGAGGACGATTTTGGGTATTAACTCTTTGTTATTGTGATGTTGATATCTTGTGTGTACTATGCTGCTTCCACTGGGATTTATTGGACCAAAAAGTAAACTATAAAAAGGAATAAATCTTTTTTTTTTTATGGGGGGGTGGGTGGGTTTATTAAATTCTTTGAGAATATTCGGAGGAAGTACAAGAGAGTATGGTCAAATGTTATTATTAATTACTCAAAACATTTTAGGGTGTGTTTAGTACATGTAATTTTTTTTTTTTTTTTTTTTTTTGTGTAAGTGATGTTGAAAGAGTAGTTGAGTTGGTAGAGTATGGTTCTTACACTTGAAAGTTACGATGGGTTCAATTATTGTTAACACTTTATTGATTAAACATTTGAGGGTGTTACATAAGGTATTCCTAGTACAATTTAGTTATCAGATGTTATCATCTATTCTACAGAATATTTAGTTTACAATCTATTACACAATTGTAAGGTTTACCTAGTGCTCAGGTAGTGGTTACGTGTATCACTCGTTACGTTTCTTGTGTGGTTTAAGAACTCTCACACAAGAGTGAAATTTGTTTAATGTACACCCTCCATAGTGGCTGTAAATTTTCCATGCATGTGTGTGTTTTGCGGTAGTACACATGATCCAGATTTAGTTACACCATCTAATAGTAATTGATAGTTATTACTTATTATTACACATAAGTTGAGTTTACATGTGCATAGTGCATACCCTCACATAGTAAAAAAAGGTGGTAAAAATTACTAACCATTTTGAGGGGTAAAGTTGGTTGGTTCGTATTCTTGAGTGAGATATATTATTGCATGATATCATCGATGTGACATGATCGTGCTCCGTGTAACTCTTAGCTTGTGTCAATTTTCTCATTGTACTAAAAAATATATATTTAAAAAATGGATATATTTTTATTTAAAAAAAAAAAACTTTTATAACTTTCTTCACAAAGTTGATTTTTTTTGTTTGTATTTCAAATGAAAAGGACTTGTAAACAATATATGTGTTGTAGATATTTTTTGGATGTCTTATTGGCTTAAGGTTAAAGATAGATTGACTTAGTATAGAGGAAAATAGCAACTATTGAGAAATATTATGAATCTCCAAATTCATAGTGGTAGGATAATTACCAACAAGAACATCTATCATATGATGGATTCTTTGTTGCTGATAAACTTGAAAAGCTACTAACTTTAAAATATCTATCCATGTTACAGCAATCAACAACATTACAGGCTAATTTATTTATACATTTTCAGACAAAATTTGCATTGGGGAGGAAAATTTGATAGTCTTATTATCTCTTTTGGAAGTTAAGGAACATGATACCATAAGCAAACACAAAGGAGAAGAGGAGAACCCAACCAACATGCCCAACAGCAACAGCAGGAAGGAAACCATAATCAAATCCTAAGTTATCTTTAAGGAACTCTTTCACTGTCATATCATCTAATTCTCCAGGAACCTCAACCAGAGACTCTTTATCCCCTAACAGCGACGCCACTAGCCCATAAATTGTCCACGAAATCGGTGTTGCCCAGTAGTACCATCTCCACCATACTGGAATTTGTGTTCTGGGAATGAGGTAACCAGAGAAGAGGTTCCAGAAGGTGAGGAAGAAAGCCATAACGATGGAAGCAAACTCGACCCCGGGAGTTAGTGCAACGAGCATCATTCCAAACAGTGTGAAGTAGAAGAAGCTCATGAACATGAAGTAGTAGAACCATAGAAACTTCCCCGCTGTCCACTCGAATCCAATCATCGAGTATAGTAGGAGACAATACGAAATGGTCTGAACAGCAACATAGATTGCTTCTATACCAGCCTGCAAAATTTCTTAAATTTCTTAAAATGGTCAAAACTGTTGAGCATATAATTAATGTGCAATTCAACTATAAGCTTAGGCTTTTAGTTGAGATGGAGCACATGCTAGCCAGACCAAAGGTCAGCTACTACGGTTTTGCTTGGAACCCACAGCACACGTGAGGGGGCGTGTTAAACATATAACTATTAATGTGCAATCCAACTATAAGCTTAGGTTTTTAATTACCTGAGCAAACGCGTAGGGGAAAGCTGAATACATCCCAGCACCACGTTCACGATAGAAAACCGTTCTCTCTACATAAACCACAGCTTGCACTGAATTAGTGTTTGTAGCTCCAATGAAAATTATAGCAGAAAAGATAGCTCCCATGATGTTCTCCAGATCCTGTTGCTTTTGCCTGTAAAACAACCTTTGTTATTACCTTTGATCAAACTTCCAACATTCGAGATTGTCTAACTAGGAAATAAAGATATTCTAAGATGATATATATATAACATTACACTTTGTCTCCTTTGTCCCAAAAGATAATTCCAATCAAAATCCCGGTAAGTATTGTTACGAACAGACGAATGGCATTGTACTGTGGGTTCCTCCAGTAAGACCAATGTTGTTTCCAGAAACAAGCTTTGCATTGTTCGACGAATGTTTGGGAGTATTTCGTTGGGAAGTGAAGGTCTTTAGAACCGGGTGGCGGGGTGCTGAGTTCTTTTATGAGTTCTTGATTCCTCCTAAACGAATGCAAAAAGATTCATAACATCCATTCATTCTCGAGAAAATGAAATCACAACAAAATTAATCTAGTTTACTTACTGATAGAGCGAAGAGTTGGCATAAATGTCTGCAAAATCAACTCCAATTTGTGCCTCAAATGCAGTAGCAGTGATCTCCAACATCCATGTAGCGGGATTATATCCGTTCATGATCTTAGGAACCCCGGGCACATCCTGCAGAAAGGGTCGATTAAACAAAAAAAGTGATATTTTTGCAGTTTGGAACAAAAAACAGTACGAGAAAGAAAGAAACAAACCTCAAAATATTCTATCAGTTTACGAGAGTTACAACCGAGTGGTCCTGCATAAATCATCTGTCCTCCTTTCTTCATCAATAGTAACTGCAAAAAAAACCAGATTTGAACCCATGACCTTTAGTCTGACTTAGATACCAAATTGAAGCATGTGTTCCATCTCACTAAAAGTCTAAGCTGATAGTTAGATTGCACATTAATGGCTATATGCTCAACATATACCTCATCAAAAGCTTCAAATATGTCGATACTTGGCTGGTGAATGGTGCACACAACGGTTCTCCCAGTGTCCACTGTATTTCTTACAGTTCGCATAACAATAGCAGCAGCTCGGGCATCGAGCCCGGATGTTGGTTCGTCCATGAATATTATAGACGGGTTAGCAACCAACTCCACAGCGATTGTCAACCGTTTTCTTTGTTCAGTCGAAAGACCATCCACCCCGGGAAGACCAACTAACGAATTTCTTATAGGATTAAGCTCAACCAGTCCCATCACTTCTTCTACAAACATCTGCACTCATATATACATAACCAGAATATAGTTATTTATCGATGCTTTGGACTAAAAAACGTCGTGGAGTGGGAATATAGTGTGCACACCTCGCGTGTATTCTTGTTAATATCAGCAGAAAGACGGAGCCAAGCAGAATAAATGACGGATTCATAAACAGTAAGATTGGGTGAATGGATATCGTTTTGTTCACAGTAACCACTGACTCGAGCAAAAGTTGATTGGTTCTTTGGATAACCGGAAACGCTGATGCTACCTTCGATGTATCCACTGGTCTTTCGTCCCGCTAAGACATCCATTAAGGTTGTCTTTCCAGCACCCGTGACACCTACAAGCACTGTCAGTACTCCCGGTCTGAAAGCACCACTAACATCCTGAAGGAGCTGGAGGCGGTCTTCGTTAACGCCTTCACTCTTCATTTGCTGTTTAATTTGCAACCTCAATAAGCGTAAAGAAAGTAGCGAAGAACTTGAAGATAATGGCGAAAATAACTGCTTACAGATGGCATATCCACGTAATAGTTGATATGGTTAAAAGCAAGCGACAAGGGGTGAAAAGGAAGAACCATTCCTCTCCTCGAAGCATTCCTCTTTTCGGGAATCATACCTTCAAAAGACTCGTTTTTCTTATTTTCAACAACATCCTCATCCAAGACTGCAGCCCTTGAGTCACCATAAGCTGAAACGAAACAGAAGCTCGTTAATCAAGTTTGTTGGCAGCAAAGAGCTCGTATTTAATTTCTTTATGATAATAAGATCGCCTTACGATTTAAGATAGAAAGTGCTGCTATAAATAAAGCATTGAAGAGAAGCGAAAATCCCCAGAGAGCTCCATTGCAAATCCAGAACCAGTAGTTGTCTGTTACAAAGCCTCTCGCCTTGAGAAGTGCTCTCCCTACAGTAGGTTCTTGAATTTTGGGGTATATATTAGGCTGCATAATAAACAATTTTTCGCTTTTATCAGAAAGAAGTTTGGTGAAAACTCGAAAAAAACGAGTTTTAGAGAGAACTCACAGCGCTCCATCTTTCGTCGAGAAACTCGTTCATGACTAATGCATTCTCCCCATAACTCATAGGAGAAACATAATAACCCCATTTCATCCATGGCCTAATGTCATCTAAATGCAGTTAAGAAAATACATTACTTTAAACGCTTTTTTGTAATCAATGTGAATCAGCATCAAAGCTTAAATTTACTGAAAAGTAATAATTACTTACTGTAAGCAATTATGAAACCGCTAAGCACGAAGGCCAACAACAAGGTAAATGTAGCTAAGGTGCTTGAAACCACCAGTGTTTTTCCAATTGCTGCATTGAATCGGAATAGAGAAAGAGCCGCCTGATGTGTACTAAATAACGTCAAAAAATGACGAAAGAACCTTAAACACAAAACGGGAATTGAAGTTGTTAGTCAATCTTAGTGAAACATTGTAACAAACATTTAGTGATCAGATAGTTATTGCATTCTTACCTTCCAGCAGAAGGAGCGAAACCGATTGAGTAATATGTAAAAACAATCCAAATTGCTGATTCGATGAACGATAGGGGTATTTTCAAGAACCAAATTGGCAGGCAAAAGGCCCAAGCGGGATAGAACGAATGATCCCGCTGTTTAAAGAACACAGGAAGCCTCATAACTGTCATTGCTGTCTCGATCGTTCCATTAAACATCACATTGATGAGACTGTAGAACAGAGCCCCATAGAATTTCCTCCCGTCTTGTAGTCTACCATATGGCATCTTTGTCCTCAAGAAAACCGAAAGGGCAAAAATGGACAAGATGGTTATCTGACAAGTCTTGAAAATGTAAACAAAAGAGTTACGTTTCATTAGCAGCCACTCCCGGGAGAAGCATGCCTTGAGTAACTCCCAATTGGAGATACCGTACTTCCTTTTCACCAATGCAGCAGGGTGAGTTTCGGGCTTATCGTAAGGAACGCTAAGCTCATAGGCAAGCTGGTTGCCAAGATGAAACGAATCGAAAGCCTCTGCAAATTCGGGAACCGAGATGTATCTATATGTTTCCTCTTTTCTGAACCAGTATTGTTCTTGATCATTCTTGGAGGTCACTTCTTGGAGAAAATCAGCAATTCCCTTCCGCTCAGGACATTTGAATCCCGTTTTCTCAAAGAACTCGAGAACGTTTTCCTTTGGACCTTGATACACAATCTGCCCTTCTGAGAGCAAGATTATGTCATCGAAAAGATCATACGTCTCGGGGGCTGGTTGGAGCAGAGAAATCACCATTGTTACATCCATAACATGAACCAATTGCCTCATATATTTCACAATTTGAAAAGTTGTGGAACTATCTAACCCAGTCGATATTTCATCCATTAGAAGAACTTTTGCAGGTCCAACCAACATTTCTCCTATAAACCAAGTTCGAGTAAACAAGATAACACTTTTAACATAGAATTTATCCATTGAGAGAATTATACTAAATCTCTCGAAAACATACCAGTGGTTAGACGCTTCTTTTGTCCACCCGAGATACCCCTCCTCATTTCATCCCCAACTATGATGTCTGCACAAATGTCTAACCCAAGAATCTGCAACAAAATTCGAGCGGTGAGAACGAAGTCTCCTCCAACCTTAAACTCCCAAACATGGGATCAAGAAAAGGCAACCTTGATAATGTAATCAGTGACCAAACTGGTCTTTTGGCCAGCGACTGAAATGGACTTCAAGAATGCATCGAGTTCAGGTTCTGGTTTGATTCTCGCTTGCTTCTCCCGTCTCGACAGTTCTGCCAGCAATTCATACCTTGTTCCAACCCCCAAACAGCGGCCCGAGAAATCTAGAGTTTCCCTCACTGTCATCTCTCCATGGTGAAGATTAAGGTGACTAATATAAGCACATGTCTTTTGTGGGAAAAATTCATGAAATTCATGGCCACAATATGTAACTTTCCCCGTTTTCTATTCAAATTTCCACCAGTCAGAAAACAGACAATTACACCAAACAATGCCAATCATATATTCATATATAACACTACAAAAGCTTCAAAGAACTCACCTTTAAATCATCATCAAGCCTTCCTGCAAGTGCCCTCAGCAATGTTGTTTTCCCTGCACCAGGGGGACCTAAAAGCAGTGTCATCCTGAAAACCCATTGCAAAATAACTGTATATAATGACCCACAGATTATATCATTCCTGAACAAAAGGATTCTTTCTGGGAAATTAAGGAATATACTAAGATGTTTGGAACATATATACAAAGACAAAATGAAGAATACCTTGATGGTTTGACAATGCCACTGACATCTTTGAGTATTTGAATGCTTCTTCTATTAGAAGGGGCAAGGTGAACCATCCTCAGAAGACTCTATTGTTCAGTGCAGGGCAAAAACAGGAAAAGATCAATAACCAAGAAAAATCTATTGGCCTTCTTGGTTTGAATCGATCAACTATGAGCAATTAGTTTGAGTTAGTGCTATAGACAACCTAGTACTTTGCTAAGGTCACACGGCGAGATTTATCTCGTGACTAAAAAAACAAAGTACTCAAGTTTCAAGCAACTTGACCAGCTTAACACAAATACTCTTCAGAAACATTTGCTATTCTGATCAATAATCCAGTTTTTTTTGCAAATGAAAACAGAAGGAATTATCAAACCTAATTTCAGATCAAATTCAACACTTTCTTCTGTTGAAACAGAAAATTAAATGCAAATGTATGGGGATTAATTTCTAGCATATAAAGAAAGATTATGCCTTTGTTTGATGATGATTGAGGTTGATACTTGTTTGTAGAGAAGTGTCATAAAAGTTGTTTATCTTATAATTATATGCCGAGTAATAATTACGGTTAATAAATAAACAATACTCTTTATAATAATGAGTTTATTTCATTTTTGTCCTAGATCTATACGCGTCACTTCACTTTTTTCTTTTTTTTTAGAACATCCTTCATTAATTCTAGTATTATTGTGGCATTATCATTTTTGATGCTCCGTCAACAAAATTGTTAAAATGTCTTCAAATACAAAAACATTTTGATATCTTTTATACAAAGTGATCTGAGTTGACCCACTATATTTTGAACTTTTATCTATGTTTTTTCTTTATTATATTGTTTTAAGGTAAAGTGTCCATCATCTAACTAGCCAAATTTTTTTACTAATAACAAAAATGGTTGGTAATACCAAGAGACAATTTTGTAGATTTTAAAAGTGGTTCATGATACGTTTTCAATCAAAAACTCTTGTTTTCCAATCATTTTTTTGATATATATATATATATATATATATATATATATATATATATATATATATATATTTGGATAATCTTCTATTTTGTTTCTTATGAAATTTATTTTTTTAAATAATTTTTTTCGACGAAACAAACAGAAAACAACAAACCAAACCGATTACCTCAATTGCATTCATGGTGGCATTAGCCAAAGTGGGCAATGCCCTATGCCCAACATGTGCCTCTCCCACCACTGACAAATGTTCATACCTTACTTCAATCTTTGGTATATTAACCCCCACCCTGCATCCATTCAAATAAATATATATAAACACAATGCATGTTAGACTCTTATAATCTCTAAACTAGTAAACTGCATATATTAGATGGTTAGTTAAGTACATGATTAGAGAAACATAGACTAGGAGTAGTCGAGCAGACAAAAAAAAAAAAAACTACTCGGCTGAGTTGAACGCCTACTCGGTCGAGTTAGGCGTCCGACTAGGCTGAGTTGAACGCCCGACTCGGTCAAGTTAAGCGTCCGACTCAACCGAGTTAGACACCCGATTCGGCCGAGTTAGGTGCTCAACTTGACCGAGTTAGGCACTCAACTGGACAAAGTTGTTTATAGCTAAAATCTTCTTGGTTAGGAGGTGCCTACTGCCTAGGGTCTAGGCAGATTTTTACAACACCTAACTCCAGTTAAGTTCATCATGTTGTTCACTTGTTGGTAAGTAAAATATTTCAAATTCATTCATTTGTTTAAGAGCAGCCTAACTAAAATACACACACACAAAAAGTTACCTATCAATCCTTTCCCTAAACCGTAGAAGAAACCTGTCATTGTCTTCCTCATCACCTTTCAGTATACTCTCCATTAACACTTCCCTTTCTTGCTTCCCAAGCTTTCTGAGGTCGATTTCCTCCGCCACAAGTCTGCCGTCGCCGCCGCCCACCGCTGCATGCTTCAGCATGCCTTTCCTCATCCTTTCGAACGTCGGCAGCCGCTCGATGGCAGCCCACAGCAGCTCCTCCTCCTCCTCCTCCCGCCGTGCGCTCCGGCCGAACACGTCCGCCGTCCCCAGCCACGCCACCTCCCGGAGGTTGGCGGCGGAGTGCCAACTCCGCCTGCTACTCGAACCCACACTACTCCTCCTGCTACTATATGAGATTTCCCGATCATCTTCCTCCAACACCCTCGACATTTTTTGTTGCTTCAAAGATCGATCGCTTCTTTCTTCATTGTACTGCAAATTAAAACTCCTCGATCTTGACGTGAAAAATCCAAGATTTATAAGTGCATGGATTGTTGCTCAGCTTAACTGAGTATTATATATTATGTGTAATGTGTAATTATTACAGTGTTTTATGACTTAAGGAACATGGTTCTACTCGCCGGAGCGGAGAAGCTCCGTTCATGGCAGAGAAAGGATCGCGGACTGTGATTATATAATGGATCATAGTTCACTATATATATATATATATATATATATATATAGAGAGAGAGAGGAGTGATCACATGTGGCCATGTTGTTAGGTGTGGCCATATGGTCAATTATAGACCATTAGATTAGATAGATCTAATGAATCATATTAATCAAGATTTTTTCAGTATTTTCGCGCACATTCTTCTACCCAGCGAACTGTAAGGGTAAACTTGTCATAAAACACCGGAATAAGGAAAATCACATTGTTGTGTGTTTTATTACACTATTGGTGCATGTTGTCAACAATGTTGGTGTATTCTGGAACTAGACCGCTATAAATGGCCACTGTAATTACCATAACACGGGAATACACCATTGGTGTGTTTCACTGTGGTGTGTTTTATTACACTATTGGTGTATGTTGTCAACACTGTTGGTGTATTCTGGAACCCGCCCGCTATAAATGGTCACTGTAATTACCATAACACCCCCACTTACTAAAACGCGCGAAAATCTTCAGAATTACCACAACATTTAGATTAAACTGATTCAACGACACAGATACGACCACACGACCACACCTAATGACATGACCACATATGAGCGTTTTTCTATATATATATATAAAGTTGATCTATTTTTTTTTTTTGTACATTTAAAATAAATGTATAAACTTATGTCAGTAAGAAATTAACATTTGTTAAATGATACTCCGTATTTATGGTTTTTTAACTTTTTGAAAATAAATTTTTTTGTTTGGTAGAATTTTTTTGAAAATAAATGGATATGTACAAAGAGTCATTAGTTTAGATATATAAATTTGGTTCATAAAAGTTATTGCGCTAAGTATATATAAATTTATTGTGGTTGGTACTTGGTAGGGATGATAACAAAGAGGTATTGAGAAGAGAGTATACTTCTTGTCCCTGAAACCTTACACCAACCTCATCCTCATCCACTGCTGGAAATTATGGAATTTTCGACTATCTGAAAATGATTTTAAATCAAGTTGAAAGCCTTGTTCCGACCACTTTTGGTATCTGAAAAAATCTTTGTTGCTATTTTCGACCATTTTTTACTTTCGACTTGATTTAAGATCACTTTTAAGTGGTCGGAAATTTCATAATTTCTGACAGTGATATCAAGGATAATATAACAACTAACCATAATCATAATTGGCCATTTAAAGGGCATCAATTTGGGCCAACTTTCATATATTATACTATAATATATAACAACTAACCATAATCATAATTGGCCATTTAAAGGGCTTTAATTTGGGTCAACTTTCATATATTATATTATACAAAAGTCAAATTTTGTGGATAATCCCAACTCAATCACGAGATGGGATATGGGATATGGGATATGGGATATGATGGCTGGATGCTCAGCTGCATCGACAAAAATATGTATCTTTAAGGAAAAAAAAAAAAAAAAACAACACAATTCTAATTGTGCATTTCTATTCACACTACAGTGATAACATTATATACGCGAGTTTAATTAAGATTAATCCAATCAAATCGTTATTAAGTTTGTTGATTTTTTAAGAATGTATATGTTTTAAATTTTAGATAAAAATATGCAAAGAGTAATACTAGAGACTCTTTCAATCCATTTCTTATAATGTAGCAGTATCTAATTGGTAATTAATTTTTATTTTGAATTAGTGGTAGTATTAACCAATTTATGACACCCAATGAATGAATGCCGCATTAAGAGGAAACATATTAGAGGTGAAATTTAGGAGTAAAAGACGACATTTTTTATATGCAAAAGTTTCTAGCTTAATTCTTGTTAATACCCCGCCAGTTGATCCAACCCTTTACACAAGATGTTTAAAAAAAAAAAGGGAAAATGACACTTTTTCCCCCTAAGTTATATACTTATAGCCATTTTTCCCCCTCAATTATTTAGGTAAGCACATTAGCCCCCTCAATTATTCTAAAAGTGGTGATTTTTCCCCCCTGATATATTAAATTGACATTTCTACCCTTAAAGTAAATATTTTATTTATTTTACTTCTCCAACAAATTATCGCGTATACGTAGGGATGACCACTGTTCAGATCAAACTGAACCGGACACTATAGCAATTGAATTAAAAGTTTTCGGTTATGATTCAGATCTAGAACCTAATATTTGGATTTCAATTTATTAAAATTATGAATAAAAAAAATTGGATCTTGAACCGTGAATCGGCGGTTCTGGATCCGGTTTCCAATTTTGAACCGTCTTTATTTTAAAATTTTATTTTTTATTTTAAATAGTCTAAATTCAACAATAAATATATTTTATTTTTTCAGTTCGGTACATGAATCGTCCGTTCCGGTTCGCGATTTTAATAAACTCTAAATATCGAGTTTCGATTCTAAATTGTAATTGGAATATTTCGGTTTGGTTGCTATAGTGTTTGTTTGGTTTGAACCAAATTATTGTCATAATTTGTTGGAGAAGAAAAATAAATGAAATATTTATTTTAAGGGTAAATATATCCATTTAACATTTCAGGGGGAAAAATAGCCACTTGAATAATTCAGGGGGAGAAAGTGCTATAAGTATATAACTTAGGGGGAAGAAGTGCCATTTTCTCAAAAAAAAAAAAAAAACATAACAATGGTGCAATTTTAAGTGATCATCATTACCTAAATAACGTCCATATTATTTATGTGCTTTATATAAAAGAAATACTTATATAAAGTGTCGAAATGAATGTGGCTTTTTTTTTTTTTTTTTTTTTATGAAGAGGAAAGTTTGTAATCATTATTTGAAACTTGAAAGTGTGTGTTAGGTATATTTTTGTTTAATAGCCTTTAATTACACTAGAAAGATCTTGTGCGACGGGCTCGATAAAAAAAGATGTTGTCAATAATTAAACTTGTAATCTTTAGGTATAGTACAAGAATCATGCTTCATCCACCGCCTAGCCATCCATTTCAGGGCGAAATGAAAATGAATGGTTTTTCTTCTTTAATTGTGCTTCAGTAGGTTGAGAAAATAGTTATGAACAGATAATACATTATAATAGAGTCAGTAGCATTCAAAAAAATATATATCAAGATCGACAAGGAGATGATTATAATTAAAGAAAAAATAGTAAAATTTACTAAAATATTCATATAGTAAGCAAAACACTAACTGATTGAGTTTAAATAGTTTTCTTACTTGATAGACTAAACAACAATCTTTTTGAAAAGTTACCATAACAAAAGGTTAGGGATTGGACTAAAAGAGTTTGAAAAAAATGAAATTTTTTCAACCACTTTAGATTTTTTCTACTTTTTTTTTTAAACATAAGGGCATGCAAATGCAATTAATGCGTTTATCCAATTATAAATACATTCATTCACACAACACACTTTAATTTGCACATGTTATATCTTTCAAACCATGCATACGTTGAAAAAAACATTTTAGAAGATGGAATAGTTTTGTGGATGCATGGACGATTTGTAAAAGGTTGGTTGAAAGAAATGGGAAGTGGGACCCTTGACAAATAGTGAAATAACTAAATGCTGTAAGCTACTGATAGATACAAGGAAAAAATATCGAAACCGGTGGTTGAATAAATAAAGTATAGTTTCTTTTTAGGTGTTATGTATTGGGTAAATTTATTGTTGTGTAATAAATTGATATCACACAATAATTCAAAAGAAGTAAACTGTAATAGGAAGATCCTGTGCACAAGTCGCTTATCGAGTGACATAGAGATTCGAACCAACTCATGACCTTTGGTCTGGCTCTGATACTAAATTAAAGCAAGTGCTCCATCTCAACTAAAAACCTAAACTGATAGTTGGATTGCACATTAATGGTTATATGCTCACAAGCGCGTTGCATAGCTTTATTGGCAAGGTTTACACAACCCATACCCTCAAGTAGTGTTACTCTAATATATCAATGTGTATAAATTTACCCAAAAGTATGGGTAATTTTTTATTTTTTTTCAAACTACTTATCTAAGCGTTTGGTTTACAGAATGTTAGATTCTTATATATGTTTGGTTAAAATTGAGGTATGTAATATATATATATATATATATATATATATATATATATATATATATATATATATATATATATATATATATATATATATAATTAACATATTTTTATGTATTTTAATAAATTTTAATTAAAATAAATAATATAATAGTATCATATATAATTACATGATTTAAAAATAATTAATTAAAAACTTGAACTTGAGAAACAAAATTATTTTATATATTAACATGACGTAATAAAAAATAAAAAATAAAATAAAATATATAATTACAAAAATAATTAAATATGATACATATAATCAGTTAACATAAAACATATATTTTATAGTAATTAGAATTAAATGGAAATAATTTGTAAATATCTCTACATAATAATTAATCTTAGATAACCTAAAACTTGTGAGGGAATCAAATTTCTTTTAAAATCATATGTGAAGGACGGGAGGGTATGATATGTTGTATTTTTCTCTTAAAAAAGTAAGATAACATGAACCAATCGCAAATGTCAGAATGTAAAACTTTGAAATGTCACAATCTTTTAATTATGTTGTATAATTTAGACCAAACACCCTTAAATTCAAAAACATGGGCGAGGATGCATGCATGGAGTACTAGCAACGTCAATTTCGTCAGTGGTATTAAAAAAGGTTGGTTGAAACTTGAAAGACACAAAGCATCGTATTAAAGAAGTGGGAACTAGGACCCTCGGACAAGCACGTACTGCATGCAATAATTAAGTACATGATGTAACCCATGCAAGCAAAGTTGATTGACAATTTCATTCAAAAAGAAAATAAAAAAAATAAAAGTACGTTTGTTGTATTAAAAAGTTATAAATTTAATTCTTGTCAATATCTTTTTATCCAACTCGTTACATACTCGCACAATATTTTCCTAATTTGATTCACTTCTTATGTGTAGTTTGTAAGTTATTATATAATAATGAAGTTTATTTTATGCACATTCTTGGACAGCATTAGATTTCTCTTAATGTTCGGTTTAAACTTATAGATAAATTACAATTTATGTTTATATAATGACGCTCAATATATTGTACCTGATATAACTATATATAATTCTAATGATCGACACTAAATTAATAAAATTGAAGTGCGTGAAGGCAACGCCAATAATAACTACAAATAGTAAGATAATAAAATTTCCTTGGGATGAGAATTGAATTTGCATCACTTTAGGTCTCTTATGATGGCTAAAAGTCATCATAATCTAAACTAGCTTGGTTGGCGTGAATGACCGTGCATTTTTGTCCCTTAAGAGAGATCGGGAGTTTCTCTCGTATGAAAAAATTAATTTAGCCAGCACTTTACCTCTTAATTGGGCCGGTCCAATGCAAACAGGGATTAGTCCGAGTAAAATCATCATAATCTATAAATACCACCTTAATGTACTGAAAAAGGAAACAAGATTATGCTAAACTGTACTAAATACACTATATGGTTCTTTAATTCATCCCGGTTGACCAAGATTCTAACCTTAACGTACTGAAAAAGGAAACAAGATTCTGCACTACTCTGCTTTTACTATCTCGATCAATTTATAATATTTTTAAAAAATGTTTATTAATTATATATTACATGAGTCGTATATTAAATTAAAGTTCAAATAAATATAAATAACCCAAATAAATATAAAAAAAATTAAATAAACAAACTCACAATTTTCTGTTGGCTTATTTTCTTTGTCAAGATTTCAATAATTGAAGATACAAGTATTCAGTTAAACCTAAAAAAATTCAAATTTGAGATATATGGTTTAGTTTTATTTGTTGGTTAATTAATTAATAGTTTATTGAATATTTTTATTACTTAATTATTTATACTTTTAGGATGTACATTTACTAGTTTAAAGAATTAATATTAGAACTGAAAAAATTAACATTTGTTCTTGAATTTATGATATTGGTTTTTATCTTCAAAGTTCAAAGAATTAATATCAGAATTGAAAAAACTAACATTTGTTCGTGAATTTATGATACTGAATTTCATCTTTAAATTAGAGAATATTCAATTAATTCGTAAAATCAATATAAATTAATTACAATATTTTTACTTGACAATAGAGCTAGCGACAAGTAAGCTATATTTAAATAAATATAGGGAGTGTTTGGTAAATATAACCGATAGTTGTTAGCTGATTGGATTAGTGAGTTTGACTAATTGATAGCATTATCTTATTGTAGAAAGATGTTTGGTAATTAGGTGTTAGTTGATAGCTGATTACATATAAGATGACTTTTTCAAAAAGTTGATCAGATCAAAAAAAAAAATGTTTTGAGCAGTTTTTAAAATTTTAACGTTTTGGAACAATAAGCTGTTATAAAAAGTTAATTAATCAAATATTTATATTAATTATTTAACCAAGTCAAAGTAACATCTAATAGTGATCAAATAAGCTAAAATTGACTGATAAGCTAATTATATTACCAAACAGGATCATAATTGTTTTTTTTTCATTATTGTATATATATTATGTGTTATATAAAAATTTTTTGAAGTACCCATCAATACTGTATTTGTATCATTATGGCCATTAAAATCGTGTGATCTATATAATAGTATTTGATATGATCTGTACTAGTGTTAAGTAACATTGAAAATTTCCCAACTAACTTCGGTCCCTCCAACTTTTTTTGTTTAATTAATGGCTCTGTCCCCGATAGCTAGTCGACTAGTCCTAAGAAGCTGTCTGTATTTATAAGTGCATGTGTTACGTGTACGATGTATAGCAGTTCTTAGTACACAATTCCTAAATTGCATGGCGAGCAATTTTTGACTTTTATGCAAACCTAGCTATATTATATGGAGTAATTCTCAACCACATTGTGCTCAGATGACATGTAATGACATCTTCTATGTGAGAGGTCATGAGATCGAGCCTCAATGGAGGCGTTATTTGTGCTTCATTAGATTGAAAAAATATGTTTAAACAGATACTACAATCCAAAAACCCGTAAACTTAGAGCTTAAAACTTAGGGCCGGGTATTATATGTAAAATGACAAATATTATGTACAATTGAATTTGTTTCAAACTAAATGTGTATATAGAATTTATTTGTGATTCTAATATGCATTTGAATATAAAGATTCCTACCGCACCACCATCACCCACATATTGTTGTTGTTGGTTATTATTATTATTATTATTATTATTATTATTATTATTATTATTATTATTATTATTATTATTATTATTATTATTATTGCTATTATTATTAATATAACAAATAATATATTCATTTTCAAGAAAATGAACCAAACATTAAAAAAAAATATAATTTCTTAATTTTCAACTAAAAAAAATTATGACATTCAGCTAAATACCAGAAAATTAAAATACTTTCTAAAAAATGAGTCATTTTCTAAAATAATTTTTCAAAAAACATTTTCTAAATTTCTAAATGAACCCTTAAAGTAGTCTATTTATTAGTCAAACTAGCTAAACTTAATCAAACCAATTAAAATTAACTTATTTATCAAACATATTCGGATATTCCTTAATAAGATTAAAGGACAACTACAAAACATTAAATGCACAAGGGGGCTACAATGGCATGGGTGAGCCGTTCTATCCACAAGTGACAAGACATTAATTTAGACATGGGCGTCCATAAATAATCATTCGACCTAGTTTATGCAGTTGTATATCCCATTTAGACATTTTACTTCCTGTATTAAGAATATTATTTTTGTTCATGAGTAAGTTAAGTTTTTGCTCAATTAACGTGTAATTTCTCGTAGAAATTTGAAAAATCATTAGACACTATTAATTAATTAATATATTTAGACAATTTGAGAATTACTTTTTACGGATAAAAGTGTACAAATGGTAAGAAACTTGAAATCACTTAAGCAACTTGAGATTAAATTAACTCTTACTTTTTTTTACGAGTTAGGACGAATTTATGAGGAATCATGAAATAATTTGGCCAGGTTGAAAACTTGAGTTATAATAATAATAATAATAATAAAAAATCCATTGTTCACATCACATTCAATGTAAGAGCCTAGGTACTAGAGATAGCTAGCCCTCCTAAACTTCTACCTACTTTCATTTATTTCGATACAATGAATTTAATCAAATTATTATTATTTTGAAGAAGCAAGAACTTATATTAAATCATAAATGTGAGCATTACAAGGGAAAGGAGTGTGAGAAAACTCCTCTAAACATTGAGATTTAGAATAAGACTCTCTAGTTAGGAGATAAATTTTTCAATTGGTAAAATACTTAGTAAAAAGATACAATTATGAGTAGAAGTACTCGCCAAATCTTTTACATCCAACAAAATAAAAATGTATGATAAATAGCCAAGATTTCTGTGCTGCAAAACCATATTTTCTTCAGTAACTCATAACTATGAAAGAGAGTATATATAGAGAAGATGAAGATGTAAAGGACACAAAATGCAAGAAATTAAAGCTGTAGCCAATGCTGAGGTTTTGATTATTCCTTTAGTTTCTGATCAACCTTAAAACTTGTAAATGTTACTTACAAGTATCATTTCTTTGCCTTTACTCACAAAAGTGTGAAATTCCTCGCCCCAACAGTTTGACCGGACCCACCGTATTAGGTGTAACTCTCACACACTAGTTGTAAAGTGTTACTTACAAGTATTCATTTCTTTGCCTTTACTCACAAAAGTGTGAAATTCCTCGCCCCAACAGTTTGACCGGACCCACCGTATTTGGTGTAACTCTCACACAGCGACTAGTGTCAAGCCTTGAAATCATAATCTAACTGAGGTGTCTATGCGGGCTAGTATATATTCATTTCCTAAAAACTACTCTACAGCATTGCAAATCTCAAACTGGGAAACATGACAGGAAAACATATATGTTTATACATTTTCAAAGACAAAAACCTGGGATTAAGGAAAGATTGGCATCCCAGCCTTATCTTCTTTGGAAGTTGAGGAACATGATACCATAGGCAAACACAAAGAAGAACAAGAGAGACCAACCAACATGAGCTGCAGCAACAGCAGGAAGGAAACCATAGTCATAACCAAAGAAATCTTTAAGGAACTGTTTTATTGTCATGTCACCTTCTCCAGGAACCTGAACCCGAGACTCTTTATCCCCGAGCTGTGACGTGATTAGCCCGTAAAGTGACCATCCACAAGGCGATGCCCAGTAGTACCACCTCCACCATACCGGCATTTGCTGCAACAATCAAAAACCACAAAAAAAGAATCTCAAAAAAGGCGATTTCAATTCGATCTCATGTACTGAAAACTAAAGAAAATTAGCTTACTTTTCTGGGAAGAATGAAACCAGCAAAGAGGTTCCAGAAGGTGAGGAGGAAAGCCATGGCAATGGCAGCAAACTGGACACCGGGCGTTAGTGCCACGAGCATCATTCCATAGAGTGTGAAGTAGATGAAGCTGGTGAACATGAAGTAATAGAACCATAGAAATTTTCCCAGTTTCCACTCAAATCCAATCATGGGGTATAGGAGAAGAGAATAGGAAATTGTCTGTACAGCCACATATATTGCTTCTATACCAGCCTGCAAAATTTTCGAAACATTTCAGAACCCAAAACTGCATTTTAAAACTTACGCCTTTTAATTACCTGAGCAAGTGCATATGGCAAGGCGGAATACATCCCAGCAGCCCGTTCTCGATAGAAAACTGTTCTCTCCACAGCCACAGTAGCTTGCACCGAAGACGTGTTTATAGATCCAAGGAAAATCACAGCAGCATAGATAGCTCCCAAAAGATTCAGAAGATCCTGTTGATTATGGCTGGTAACAATCAAGAACCAATCTTAGTTACCCTTTATGCAACTTTCAGCAATCCAAAATATAACTCCAAAGGAATTGAATTGAAGTATGAACTTACATTTCGTCTCCTTTGCCCCAAAATATAACTCCAAACATAACGCCCAAGACTATTGTCACGAAAAACCGGACTGCATTGTACTGTGGGTTCCTCCAGTAAGACCAATGCTGTTTCCAGAAACATGCTTTGCATTGCTCTACAAATGATTGGGAGTATTTTGTTGGGAAGTAAAGGTCTTGGGAACCGGGAGGCGGGGTGCTTAGTTCTTTTATGAGTTCTTGATTCCTCCTAAAAGAGTGTAAAAAGAAGCTAAGATTAGATCCATCCACCATATATATTCTCAAGAAAAAGAAACCAAAGTGGAGAGTTTAATTTATAACTGATGAAGTGGAGAGTTTGCATAAATTTCTGCAAAATCAACTCCAGTTTGTGCCTCAATTCCAGCAGTACTGATCTCCAGCATCCATGTGGCTGGATTATACCCATTCTTGATCTTAGGTACCCCAGGTACAGCCTGCAACAATGGTCGATTTCAAAGTAACGAAAATAACACTGATATTTTTGCAGTGTAAAAAATTAACCTCGAAATATTCAATCAGTTGTTGCGAGTTTCGACCAAGTGGTCCTGCATAGATCACTTGCCCTCCTCTCTTCAACAAGAGTAACTGCAATTCAAGAAACTCACTTCTTCTTATCCAAAAATGAATGTTATATCCAATGAACTGCAAAAGTTGGAGCCTTGGGGGCATATATAGTCATATACCTCATCAAAAGCTTCGAAAATGTCTATGCTTGGCTGGTGAATGGTGCACACAACTGTTCTCCCAGTGTCCACTGTGTTTCTCACGGTTCGCATAACAATGGCAGCAGCTCGGGCATCGAGCCCCGATGTTGGTTCATCCATGAATATTATCGACGGGTTAGCAACCAACTCCACAGCGATTGTCAACCGTTTTCTTTGTTCAGTCGAAAGACCATCCACCCCGGGAAGACCAACTAACGAATTTCTTATGGGATTAAGCTCAACCAGTCCCATCACTTCTTCTACAAACATCTGCACTCATATATACATAACCAGAATAGTGAGAATACAGTTATTTATCGATGCCTTGGACTAAAAAACGTCGTGGAATGGGAATATAGTGTGCACACCTCGCGTGTATTCTTGTTAATATCAGCAGAGAGACGAAGCCAAGCAGAATAAACGACGGATTCATAGACAGTAAGATTGGGGGAATGGATATCGGTTTGTTCACAGTAGCCAATGACTCGAGCAAACGTTGTCTGGTTCTTTGGATAACCAGAAACGCTAATGCTACCCTCGATGTATCCACTGGTCTTTCGTCCCGCTAAGACATCCATTAAGGTTGTCTTTCCAGCACCAGTCACGCCTACAAGCGCTGTCAGTACCCCCGGTCTGAAAGCACCACAAACATCTCGAAGTAGCTGGAGGCGATCTTCATTAACACCTTCACTCTTCATTTGCTGTAATAAGGATAAGTAAGCAATTCAATGAAGAACTTGAAGATAATCGAGTTAATAATTCAAAAGATGCTTACAGAAGGCATATCCACGTAGTAGTTTATATGGTTAAAAGCAAGGGACAAGGGCTGAAAAGGAAGAACCATTCCTTTCCTCGAACCATTCCTCTCTCGTGGAATCATACCTATAATTCAATTCATTGAGATATAATAGAGTAATCGAACATTTCATAAATGCAAAAACTGTCTGTTTGGTATTCAATTTGCCAAACCTTGAGAGGACTCGTTTTTCTTGTTTTCAACATCCTCCTCCAAGAGTGCAGCCCTCGAGTCACCATAAGCTGGAATTAATTTAACAGAAGCTCATTAACCATTCTCTTTGGCAAAGACCTCATATTTGATATTTCTATTCTTTATGATAAGATCTGGATCTCCTTACGGTTTAAGAAAGACAGTGCTGCAATAAATAAAGAGTTGAAAAGAAGGGAAAATCCCCAGAGAGCTCCATTGCAAATCCAAAACCAGTAATCGTCTGTGTAAAAACCTCTTGCCTTGAGAAGCGCCTTCCCTACAGTAGGTTCTTGAATTATGGTGTATATATTAGGCTGCATAACAAACAAACAAACAAACAATTTTAAGGTTTTATCAGGAACTTTGGTGAAAAGTTGAAAACCATTTTTAAGTGAGAACTTACAGCACTCCATCTTTCGTCCAGAAATTCATTCATAACTAATGCATTTTGCCCGTAACTCATAGGAGAAACATAATATCCCCATTTCAACCAAGGCTTAATGTCATCTACAGGCATTTAAGAAAACACATTACTTATGAATGTGACAGTACATAATCGATATACCTCAAAAAGCTTAAATTTAAAGAAAAATAGTTACTTACCTTTAGCGATTATGAAGCCCCCAAGAACAAGAACCAACAGCAAGGAAAATGCACCTAAAGTGTTTGCAACTACCTGTGTTCTTCCAACTGCTGCAATGAATCGGAATAGAGCGAGAGCCATCTGATGTATACCGAAAAATGTCAAAAATTGACGAAAGAACCTGAAACCCAGAAACAAAAGTTGTCATTTTCTAATGAAAAGTTGGAACAGATATGATAGCACTCTTATGGTCTTACCTTCCAGCAGAAGGGGCGAAACCAATTGGATAATATGTAAGAATAATCCATATTGCTGATTCCATGAATGATAGGGGTATTTTCAAGAACCAAATTGGAAGGGCGAAAGCCCAAGGGGGATAAAACAAATGATCCCGTTGTTTAAAGAACACAGGAAGTCTCATAACTGTTAGAGCTAACTCCGCCATTCCATTAAACATTACATTGAGCAGACTGAAGAAGAGAGCCCCATAGAATTTACTTCCATCTTGTAACCTGCCATATGGCATCTCGGTTCTCAAGAAAACAGTGAATGCCAAAATGGACATGACGGTTATCTGGGTAGTTTTGAATATGTAAAGAAAAGAGTTACGCTTCATTAGCAGCCACTCCCGAGAGAAGCATGCCTTGAAAAGCTCCCAATTGGAGATACCATACTTGTTAGTCACCAATGCAGCAGGGTGGGCTCTGGACTTATCATAAGGGATGCTAAGCTCATCGGCAAGATGTTGGCCAAGACGAAATGAAGTGAAAGCCTCTGCGAATTCTGCAACTGAGATGTATCGATATGGTTGCTCTCTTCTGAACCAATATTGTTCTTGATCTTTCTTGGAGGTCACTTCTTGGAGAAAATCAGCAATTCCCTTGCGCTCAGGACATTTGAATCCCGTGTTCTCAAAGAACTCGAGAACATTTTCCCTCGCACCTTGATACACAATCTGCCCTTCTGAGAGCAAGATTATGTCATCGAAAAGATCATACGTTTCGGGGGCTGGTTGGAGCAGAGAAATGACCATTGTTACATCCATAATGTGAACCAACTGGCTCATGTATTTTACAATCTGAAAAGTTGTGGAACTGTCTAGTCCAGTTGATATTTCATCCATTAGAAGAACTTTTGCAGGTCCAACCAACATTTCCCCTGTAAACCAAGTTTTAGTAATTATCAAGAATTATAGACAGAAATGTTAATGAAAAAAAAAAAAACAAATCTTTAAAACATACCAGTGGTTACACGCTTCTTCTGTCCACCAGAGATACCCCTCCTCATCTCATCACCAACAGTGATGTCTGCACAAATCTCTAATCCTAGAATCTGCAATAAATTTCGAGTGATAAGTCTCCTCCAAGAACTTGGGATCAAGAAAAATATATAAATAAATAAACCTTGATAATGTAATCCGTGACCAAACTGGTCTTTTGGCCAGCCACGGATATGGACTTCAAGAAAGCATCAAGTTCTGGATCTGGTTTGATTCCCGCTTCTCTCTCACGCCTTGAGAGTTCAGCCAGCAGCTCATATCTTGTTCCAACACCCAAACAGCGGCCCGAGAAATCCAATGTTTCCCTCACTGTCAGCTCTCCATGGTGAAGATCATGTTGACTAATATAGGCACATGTCCTTTGAGGGACAAATTCATGAAATTCATGGCCACAGTATGTGATTTTTCCTGTTTTCTATTCAATTTCCCAATCAGTCAGCAAATAAACAATACTGTCTAAAAGTTGCAATCTTTAATAATAAATAAACAGAAAAGAATCACCTTTAAATCATTATCAAGCTTTCCTGCAAGGGCCCTCAGCAACGTTGTTTTCCCTGCACCAGGGGGACCTAAAAGCAGTGTCATCCTGAAAACAACCAGATTTAAGCCCCAATGCAAAAGTACAATAACAGTATATAATTCCTGAACAAAGGGATTCTTTCTGGGAAATTAAGGAATATAATAAGATGTTTGGAACATGGAAACATAAAATGAAGAATACCTTGATGGCTTGATAATGCCACTGACATCTTTGAGTATTTGAATGCTTCTTCTATTAGAAGGGGCAAGGTGAACCATCCTCAGAACATTCTATTGTTCATTGCAGGCCAAAGGAAACAAGAAAAGCATCATTAACCAGTAAAGTACTTATTAGTAGTACCTAAGTTTGAGGTATTAATATTTGCTAATTCTGTTTAATAAACTAGAAAAGGATCAAACTTGACCAACACAACACAAATACACTCCAAAAAAAATTTGATAACTTTGATCTATAATCCAATTTTGCAAACTCAAAACCGAAATAATATATAAACCTAAGCTCAAATCACATTTAATGCCAGCCTCTTTTGAATAGGAAAGAATGGTTTCATGGCAAATTAACAAAGCTAATTATTCTAATAGCAATGAAAAATGGCATACAATCAATATAAATAATTGAAAGTTTAAGTTGTGTGAAAGTCGCCAATATAAGTTCAGAAGATCAATCGTACTTTAAGTCAAAGAGTTTCGAATCAAATCGAGTCAAATCTAATGACTCCTTTGATGCAACTCGAGTTAAATCCAAATTAGTGTCATGATATGCAAAAGAAAGAAAAACAAAGTGGCAAAGCATAACCAATTACCTCAAGAACATTCATGGTGGTATTAGCCAAAGTGGGCAATGCTCTACTACCAATATATGTCTCTCCCACCACTGATAAGTGCTCATACCTTACTTCAATCTTTGGTATATCAACCCCCACCCTGCATCCATCCAAAAAAAAAAAAAAAAAAAAAAAAAAAAAAAAAAATTGAAACAATCGAGTGTTTGATTAATTAGCTTTTTGTAACAACTTATTGCTCCAAAATGTTAAAATTCAAAAAGCTGTTCAAAGCAACTTTTTGGATCAGTTTTTTGAGAAAATCATTTTGCTTGTAATCAGCTATCCTCTAACAATTAAATTACCAAACATTTTTCTACAATCAGCTAATGCTATCAACTAGTCAAACCTACTAATCCAATCAGCTAATAGCTATTTAGCAAACACTCCGAAATCCCATTAATGAATGCCCTAAAATCTCAGAGAACTAATATGAATGAAAACATACTTACCTATCAATCCTTTCTCTAAACCTTTGAAGAAACCTGTCATTATCTTCCTCAACAGCTCTTAGTATACTCTCCATTAACACTTCCTTTTCTTGCTTCCCAAGCCTGGTAATGTCGATTTCCTCTGCAACAAGCCTGCCGTCGCCGCCCACCGCATGCTTCTTCAACACGCCTTTCCTCATCCTGTCAAACGTCGGCAGCCGCTGGATGGCGGCCCACAGCAGCTCGTCCTCCTCATCCTCCCGCCGCGCGCTCCGCCCGAACGCCTCCGGCGTGGCCACCCACGCCACCTCCCGGAGGCTGGCGGACTGCCAACTCCGCCTGCTACTCGACGCCAAACTCCTCCTACTACTACGTGAGATTGCCGGGTCATCCCCCTCCAACATTTTTTAATTTTGCTCCAAAGATTCTTCCTTTCTTGATTGCACCACAGAATTCCTCAGTCTTGACGTGAAAAATCCAAGCTTTATAGCTGTTTCCTTTGTTACTTATCAGTATTACACGTTATACGCCGTGTCTTACGACTTCCGGGCAGAACGGTCCCCGGAGAATCTCCATTTTTGGCACGGAAAGCATGCCGGAGGCCGGGAAATTAAAACTCCGGTGGAATGAGACGACGGAGGAAAAATGGTGAGTTCTGGGGAGTTTATAAAGAGAGTAGTTGAAAGAAATTACAACGGTAGTTGAAAGAAATCAGAACCGCGAACAGACAGCATGACACATCGACCATATCTTTCATTAATTCCATATAATCATCAACATAAATACTACGTATGTCAAACTAAGCCGCCGACAGTAAATGCTCTTTTTTTAAAAAAATTAAAAAATAAAAGAGCTAATTCATTAATAGTGGTCAAATAAATTAAAATTGATTGATATGCTAATTATTTTACCAAATAGAATCTTAATGTGATTGGTTTTAATCAAAAAGGAGTTTGGCAATTTCAATTATTATGTAGTTTGATGACAATTTATATTATGGACCACGATCCACATGGAATCTACCTAATTCGTACTTGTAAAATACATAATTTCATAACACAAAACATAAAAAAATCACACCACAAAACACATAGCATAGCATTGTGGACCTAGCTGAATTGAAAAGACGAGAGGTACTCGTAAGGTATAAAATTTTATAACACAAAACACAAAAAATCACAACACAAGACACATAGCATAGTATTATGGACCAAACTAGATTGCAAAGATGATGTACAAATTTTATACTCGTAAGGTACATAATTTTATAATTCAAAACACAAAAAATTATAACACAAGACACATATACATGTTATATATTTACTTATTTTTCAAATTTGATTTATGTACATATAATTTGTGTTTATAGTCAGGGGAATTTTTTTTTTTAGTACTATTGACTCTATTACGAGCTAGGATCTGTTCTATACTTTCTCTATCTAGTACAGTCCAAAGAGTCAATTCTCTACCACCGATATTCGATCTTGTGACCTTCCCTCAAGGGGAGCCACAAATGTATCATATGAGCACAAGGTGCTTGGCACAAAATTTCTTAATACACGACACAAAAATTTATAATATAAAATACAATTATATTATTAATTTGTTTCAAATACAAAATTTTATAATACAAAATACGAAAAACCATAATATAAAACACATATATAAACTAGGATCCATAATACAGTATAACTGTGATCTATGATGTAAGAATTGATAGTTTGATGACATCTCTATTTCCAAGTTATCACAAGATCAAACGGTGGAAACATTGATTCTATAAAGAATCATGAGGGGTGATCGAAATTTTTTAAAAAGGTTACGTGTAATTTTCGGAAACATCCAAAAAAATCGGATCAGTTTCAAGCTCCTAGTTGTAAGCAGCTATCTACATTTATTAGTATTTATTATTAGGATAGCGATTCTAATTAGAATATAATAACTTAGGAGTCCATGATTGACTTTTCTTATTAGTCATTTTATTCATTGACTTTTTATGTTGCAATATATATCCACTAACTTTTTTAAAAAATCGTCTTTAAAGTTACAAAATCATTAAATCATTACTTAGTATGTGTTTATTTTAGTAACTTTTTTTTTTTCTTCTTCAACTTTGGTGCTACTTTAAGAATTAAAATTGTAACTTTTTGAAGAAATTAAGAGTATTTTGTAATAATAACAAAAAATTTAAAATTAAAATCAGAATAATTTAAATAGTGATCGTCAAATCAACGTTAGTCTTACTTCTAACGATAAGATAAGATTATGTACTCAAAACCTATAAAAACGACTTTTATGTAATGAGCTCAACAGCTTCAAGTAGGAAAATATATTATACTCCATTCACAAATTAAATGCAATTTTCCCTTTATGCTATGATGGAGTGGCGTGTGTGACAAAACATACAGACACAAAAGATCAGTTCATGCATGGTATAGACGTATAGTTAATAGCTAGGAAGTTGATATGTTATCGGTTTTTTAAATATTCAGCCTAGATATATAGACATTATTATATTACTATTATAATATGATGATGATGAGGTGTATATATATAGAGAGAGTGTGTGTGTTAATTCTATTTATGTCTCTAGGTAACCATTTATTTTTAGTATTTTTTTTTCAAAACAATGTAACCTCATTTGATCCTAGTATTATTGTGGCATGATCATTTTTTATCTTTCATCACCAAAATGTTTAAATTTCGTAAAATATAAGGACATTTAAATCTTCAATTATAATTTTTTTTCAAAAAATAAAAATATAACGGGTCAACTCACTTTGTATATAAAAAAAAAAAATGACCAACATATTCTTGTATTTAATGACATTTCAATGATTTTATTGACGGATGATCAGCAATCTTGTAAAAGAATTTTATTATATATACTTTCAATTTTTACTCCATTTTTATTTTCTAGATATCATTATTTGAATGAAATAATAAAAATTAAGAATTTAAGTACGGGTAGTATTTTTCTTATGAAAAGTCCGAGAAGGAACAGTTAGACAGTTAGCTGATGGATAATATATTAAAAGTTTATAATGACAGGTTTCTTCTAAGATTTGAAATAAGTATATTCTATGGATTTGTTTGGTTCGTACATGAGAATAAAAATTAAATACGTGATAATAATAATAAATTTTGATAATAGTATTTTGCATATTTGATAATGTGGTAGAATTAGGATGATTGTTAATATTAATGTCTCACAAATTAAATACGCTAATTATCAATGTCACTCTTGAATTATTAGTGTTATAAATATTGCTCTTCACATTTTAAAAATTAAGGGGCAACATTTACACCTTTAATAATTTAAGTGTAATATTAATAATTAACATATATATAAAAGTTTACTATTTTCCGAATGAAATGCAATCCTTAAAGTCATTAGTTCACGGACTATAGGTTAGGAACATAGTGAGGACACCCGTGCATCAGACTGGTCACAACTCACAATCCTAGTTAGACAAAAAGTTATTTTTTTTTTTTTTTTAAGTCATACTTATTGTTTTATTTATAAAATATTTAAGTTTAATTCTTTATCTGCCTTCAAAAAAAAAAAGTTTAATTCTTTATCTAATAAAAATAGAACTCCTTCCACTTTGATAGAATATATTCAATATAAGTTCAGAATAAATTGGGCATGGAGTTGTTAGCCAATTGAGCTAGGCCATTAGGTCAATTGGACTGTTTGTATTGAAAGTTACCTAACAACGAATAGGGGATGAATATGAGACAACTATTACATGACGTTTCATTTTGTAGTTACACATCTCCATACTCAGATCAAATTCTCTTTAATGGAGAAAGAGTTGAAAGGATCGGATATGCTCCTAAATGTCGTTGGTTAGAGTTTTGTAAGGTCAAATCAAGCATTTGTCGTCAATGTACATTCGAAATATAATGTTGACTGCTACACAAATATAAAGAAATAAATTTACACATTCCACTATCAATAATAATAAACGTTTGATAATGACAACCGGCTCCAACACAAGATTCAAACAAAGCAAACATCATGTGAGCTTATTTTCTTAGGGGTGTGCTTATAGCTAGACATTTCATTATCTTATCTTTTACATATATATATTCTTGTCCACTCACTCCAATCTCCCCAACTATATATTTAGCATTTGTCAATGTCTTGCAATGTTAGATCATTTACAGTCCTAATAAACTTGTGATAGAAAATCACCTAATTAGAATATCTACGCAACATCATTGGGTAACCCCATTCAATCATATCAATCCTTATTAGTAGAATGTTATGCTGACAATGACACAATTGACGACTTACAAACAATGATAGACAAAAAGTTTTATGTTTCGAGTTGTTTAGTATCATCTTAAGATGTAAGATCAATTCCTCATAACAGTACAGCATTGAAGAAACAACACTCTAGTGTGTTTTTAGTGAACACTAGGTTTGATCTTTCCATTTAAATGACCGTTAAGTCACTATGATTTATGCATTCACTATCTTAGTTTGTCGAGTCAGGGTGTGAGAACTCTGTGAAAAAAATATCGCCTTTTGCCCTTAAGATCACCATGACGGATTGTCGACACTTTGATCACTTTCTCAAAAGATGTGACTTAACTGAACCTATATAGGCGGAAAAATTCTACTACATGGACTCCCAAATCTTACTCCTTAAATTTTACTCCCTGTGGCGGGCATTGATAAGTTACTTTTTTTAAAAAAAAAAAATTATGTAGATCTTAATACAAGTGTTTACATCAAGATTTTGTAAGTGAAAGTAAAAATTAGAAGCAAAAAATGAGGGTAGATATAATATTTACCGATACAGACCCAACCCCATGGGGACAACTGATTTAATAATCCTAGGTGAAGTATGAAGACAGCTAATTTAATGCATGTTGTGTGTGACTGTTCATTCTGCGAAATAATTGGCAATCACTATAGGCCATTGAAGTTTCTTTTAACTCACATGTTTAGAGAATTAGGGATTTTGTGGGATTGTTTTAATCTTAACTAAGATGTTGTGAAATAATGTTACAATGCATTATTTATATATCCGGGATTAAACTATATATATCTGTACGGACAGTTCAATTGGTTCTCAAGTAATAGATTGTGAGCAATAATACAGAATCGAAACCTATCAGTCACAGTATAGGAGTTACACCTAATGTAGTGGACACCAGACACTAGTTTTCTTATCTAATAACATATAAAATATACACAACAAATCATATAATTTCAAAAAAAAAAAAAATACAAATTTTGCTAGTAGACTATAGATTAATTCTTCACCTCACATAAAGAGGTCTCAGAATGGGCTAAGGTGATAACTGATAACCATCCCTGACAGAAACCCAAAACTAATTAAATGCCAATTCAATTATGTAAAGAAGGACAGCAGCCAATTTTCCAATTATTCAAACTAGTTGCAACTCCCCCCCCCCCCCCCCCCCCCCCCCTCTACCTAAGATAAGATCAAATGAATCAAACAATATATTGTCAAAAACAAAAAATAATAATAATAATAATCTTTTTTGTGACGAAGGAAACTCAAACTCACTATTGATCAAATATGGACAACCTAAACTGATTTCTCTTTTACCAGCTTTGGTCAATGGGTCACATGGTAAAATTTACCTATTTGATTTCTCTTTTACCAGCTTTGGTCAATGGGTCACATGGTAAAATTTACCTAGTACACACTCTTGAGTAGTGACTGTGGGTTTAAAAAATAACTAATTAAGCTTAACTCATTTGAACAAATCCTAGCAATATGTAAATGTAGAACAGAAACATAATAACTACAATTTTTTCTCAAGGATCAAATGATTTCCTGGTATCCGAAGGGTGAAAATTCCGGCTTGTTCTCAACATTTACATTATAATAAACATGAAGGCCACTTCCTAACCAGACAGTAAGAGAGCATTATTGGCTTATTGCTAGAACAAGTCAAATTCTATATGCTCTCCTGTGCCACTGCATTCAAGGAACTTCTTGTTTTTCACGTTAAACGCCATATTTGGGACCTCGAGATCACATAGATCAGGTACCTGAGGGGGAATGGCACAGCGTATCAATGCCCAGTTCAGCCCTTCGAAGAATGGGTGTCGTTTAATCTCAGCAGCTCCTGTTTCTGATCCTAACCGGTTCTCGGGCTCCTTCACCAAGAGCCCTCTGATTAAGTCCCTTGCCTGGAAACTAACCATGGGGCCATCGGGGAATCTGAGGCTCTGCAAGACCACATTGGCCAAAGTTTCTTCGTTTCCAGCGCCTTTGAATGGCGTCCTGCCATAGAGAAGCTCGTAAAGAAACACCCCGAGTGTCCACCAATCAACTGCACTCCCGTGGCCCTCCCCTTTGATGATCTCTGGAGCCAAGTACTCGTGTGTGCCAACAAAAGAGTTCGATCGAGCCTCCACTGGCTCAACCACGAGCTGTGGCAATGATCTGTTGAACGCTGCAGCTTCAGCTTTTAGTTTTCTTGCTCTCGTGGTGGCGGGTAAGATCCTAGGACTAAAGCACGAAACTTTGCACGATGGTCCAGCACAAAAAGGATCAATGCAGTTGGAGCCAGCGCATGGCCCAGAAATCCTAGCAGGCTCCAATGCAAAAGAGGACGATTTCAGAAGAGTTGGGTTAACTGAACATCTCAGCGACAGGTCAAAATCTGTGAGCATTATGTGACCATCTTCGCGTACCATAATGTTTTCTGGTTTCAAATCACGGTAAACCACACCCATCATATGCAAATATTCTAAAGCAAGGAGGACTTCAGCAACATAAAACCTGCAAACAGTGAAACATTGTAGTTTTCATTGCAATTTAAGAACAATGATGTTCTTAAGAATGATGTAATGGTGGAGCATATGATAATACCTTGCTGCTGGTTCAGGAAAAGATCTGTTTAGCTGCTTTTGCCGGAGGACATGGAGATCCCCACCGGGACAAAACTCCATAACTAAGCATGATAAATTATCAGATGTAAACTGTGCATACAATGTTGGGAGAAAAGGATGGTCCAATATTCTTAAGATCTCTCTTTCAGTTTGTGCCCTTGGTGTCTTCTTCCTTCTGGCCAAAAACTCATTATCCATAACCTTTATCGCAAACAAGCAATTCGTTCCTATCAGCTCAGCAAGATAGACTGTACCAATATCTCCACAACCCAACTTCTTCAGTAGATTGAAATGACCCAAACCGAGGAATCCATGCTGCTTTTTCACCTGGTTTATAGCCTCCCATCTTGCATCCTTAGACATGTGTGGTCTGATTCCAGAACAAGGCGCACTTAGATTGCTCTCTTCGCTTAAAGTAGTGCTACTGCTATAGTCACCAATACTACTCTTTGAGCTATGGGAGAAGTCCACTTCCCTGTATTTTGACGTTTTGTTCAATTTTGAAACAGGAGTACTACTATTGTCACAGTTATACCCAATTTGGTCGGGTTTACTGGGACCACAGTTTGCAGTCCCCAAGCTGACTTCAGAAGGCACATATGCAGAAATAGCAGTTGTCGGGTGATTGGTAGAATCGCCTTTCACGTCCTTTAATGCACAGTGACACCTCTGACAGATAGCTTTGTCACTGGAAACTGTATCTTTGCCATTTTCATCTGAGAGATGAGAAACGTCTAATGATTGCAAAGTTTCCTGCTTTGGTTTCTTCTTAATGTTATTTTTGTTCCGAATAGCTGGTTTTATGGCACGAGATGTGCTTCTTGCTGACTTGAGATCCTTGCTGCTCTTTGCTGCATTGGACAAAGGCACACTTTGCAATCTGCCTTTCCGTTTTAGTTTTGGAGCAGCTCTATGGACTCCTTTAACCGAGGTACCACCACTTCTAGATGGATTTCTTGTCACCTTTATTGGAGCAGTGTTCCCCTTTTCTGGCTCTAATTCCCCATAAAGGGGAACTGGAGTGTGGGTTTCTTCATCGTTCACTACCGTTTCTAATGACTGAATGTCAAGAGGGGCACATGAAGGTTCAGTTTCACATTGCACTCTATTGGAGTCTCTAGATTTCGTAACTTGTTTATCAACCAATTGAGGAGAGGAAATATTTTTCTTTGGAGACTTCATCTTGGTCTCATCAAAGGGGCTTGAAATGGTTCTCTCCTTTTGTTGGACGATAGATCCTGTAATCTTAGAAGTCGGTTCACCAACCAATCTAGGGGAAGAAAGGGCACTTTGGTTTGGTGACTTTAACGTGGAATCTTGACAGTATCGAGGCACCTTCTCCGAAGAACTTGAAGTGCTTTCTCCAGGAACTATTCTAGCATTTCGGTATACAGAAGACTCTGCAGTCTTGATGGTTGGGTTCATGAAATGTCGTGGAGAAGAATGTGCGCTTTGGACTGCTCTCAAGTTGGATTCTTGAAGGAAACGAGGCACCCTACACGAAAAACTCGAAGAGCCTTCTTCAGACACGGGAGATATTTCCCCTCTTCCATCATCAATAGACCTGTAAGAGTGTGTAAACCTTCCAGCTTCTGAAACACTAGGAGAACCGGGCGCCTTTGATAATCTTTTCATAGCAGCCATTTCCGATGCCTGAGAAATGCATAATCCTCGCAATGCCTGTTTTAGAGAGACTGGTTCAGAGAACCCTATTCCTGGGGAATGATTCCCGCCACCACCACCCCTCATCGGTCTTTTCGAGGCATCTCTTCTAGGTCGATCCGACAAATCCAGACTCTTTGACGTTCGCAGGTCAATTGCCTCGAAAAGCCGATTAATATCATCCTCCAAATACTTATTCTGTGACTTTTTTGACACAGGAGGCTTCCAGTCTCTTTCAGCTGTTCTTGCCTGGCGGATTTTTCCAGATGGATGAATCAATTTCAGCTCCTCCTTAGATTCAACAATTTCAGAAACACGCGTAAATGAACCCATTACTTGGCAGCAAACACAGCACAGAAAGAAATCAAAGACGACTTGGCCTAAATAGGACACTGTTCATAAGGCTTGTAAGCAGAACACAATACTGGGAATCTGGGATAAAGAACCGATGGCCATATCCAAACCTTCATTTATAAGGGAAAGTGAAAGTTTCTTATCCACTCTCAGTTCTTCATTAATAATGTCACCTGGGTATATGTCAAGACCATCAAGTCATCAACCTGCAATTACAACCAAGATTTTCACTCACATTAATTACATATACAAACAGTTAGATATCTCATTTTACAAGTATGGAGTGTTTACATACAGAAGAACATATATCCGTAAAACAGTGAAAAAAAACCGTATTGAATCCACAACACCATAAATATGCCCAACTCGATGCAAGCAATGAAATTTTAAGGGGATTCCAGTTGCATTTATATGAAGTTGAATGCAAATTTCTACAAACGATTTTTATATCAGGATCAAGCTGAAATTTTCGAGCTGAAGATCCCACACCAATCAAGAATGGAAACCTAGATAACCATAATTTCTAGTAGGCAAATTAAATTTCAATCTGCAGCATCTTCCTTTAAAACAGAACATACACCCATTGTGAACAAACTACTGACAAAACCAAGATCTGTAGTTCTAATACAATCTGTTCATTTCCAAAACTGTCAATGAGATTTTTCATTTTTGGGGAATGGATGAATGCAGTTCCATCAAGTTCACCTTCATATTCATAAACAGAACCCCCCCCCCCCCCCCCCTCCCCCCTCCCCCTCCCATTGGCTTCAAAAGAAAACACCATTAATCCCTCATTCCCCACCACTAACAGCAAAGATTGAAACTTTCAATCCCAGAGAACTAACCCAAACCAAACCAAACCAAAATAAAAGAAGAAAGCCCTTACATTATTCCAGCTTCAGCTTGAAGTAAGAAGACCATATTTCAAATTCCCAAAAAAAAAAAAAAAAAAAAAGCAAAATACACAAACCAAAGATTCAACAGTTGGGGTGAGCTCATCAACGACCAAAAATACTTCAAAGTAAAACAATATAGCAGATCGAAGATGCAATTAGCTAACGAAGCAAACTTACATCAGAGAAGTACGATTTGCAGAGATCTAATGCACTTCAGATTCAGAAAACAATAAATTAAAGAAAATGTGGAGTTTGAAAAACCCTAAATAAGTGAGAGAATGGGTCTCTTTTAAAAAAACTGTTTTCTGATGCTCAAGGAAGATAAGTGCAGGATGGCAAAGCTGGGGAAGAGAGAGATAGAGAGAGCTCTCATTTCTAAGCTTCATTCACTGCTTTCTCTCTCTTTCTGTGTAATTTTTTTGTTGTATTTTAGGACATGGGACCCATCCCACTGTGGAGTAGTGGGCCCACATTTTCTTTGGATTCGAATTTTGCATTATTTTAAATTGGTTCCTTTTCTGAAAAAAAAAATAAAAAACTATAATTTAGTTTTTTAATAACCTATCAACATAGTATCATAATCTAAAAATAATAAAAAGATTAAAAGAACCTACGATCTACATCCCATGGAGAAGAGAGGTCTAGGGATTATAGTGGTGAAAATGATTAAAATTATTAGGTAAAGCACGAAAACTAGAAACGAGACATCGAAAAATGGTAATTTTAAAAATAATTCTTATTAAAATAATAATTTGTTGATAATTCAAATTTTGAAACACATTTCAATTAATAGCCGTGAAGTTATGAGAATTTCATTATCTTCTTTTTACCTATTTACGTACTAAGAAAGATACTTTTATTTTTAGTTTTAATAGTATAATATGATATGGTATGATATTGTCAAATTTTTGAATAATTATAGGTTGCTATTTAATTAATTTTGGGATACCTAGGAGATGAGAGGGGCATGTCATAAGAATAAAAATGAGAAAAAAATACACTAACTAATCTTATTACATATTTGGTATGATTTGGTCATTGCAACAGATCCCTTGACCTTCTACACCCACTTCCTTCATTGGGTGCTAAAATCGGTGTGATTTCGACGTATTGCATAGAAGTGAGATTTATTTAGTATGCACATTTTGATAATAATTACTACGGAGTAATTTTTGTTAAAAAAAAATAAAAAATATTTTCATTTTTCAAAAAGAATCTAAATTTTATGACAAATCCGGTCCGATGGCTGTTCTCTATGCGTTTTTCTTCTTTTTCCTTTGAAAATTGAGAAACTCTCATTAATTATTACTTTGAAACTTGTTTGATTTTTTGTATGTATTTACAAGTTAATGAAAAATGGTTTCATCTGAAAAAAATTAAATAAATTCAATGTATTATGGTGAATGGTGATTATTGTTAAATAATTTAATTAAGTTCACACAATATTCCACTTGATTATATAATAATAATAATAATAATAATAATAATAATAATAATAAAAGTTAGTAAAGACATATTTCAATCTTGATGACGATTAAAAATGTAAAACTATATAAAAATAATCATGAATTTTTGTTAGAGATAACCGCAAACATATTCAAAACTAATAAGTAGTTCTGAATTGGTTGGAGACATAAAATGTTTAGAAGTGAGATCTTTCAAACTTGGGCCTACCTTGTAGATGGTAGAGCTGAGGGTTGGTCCCACCTATCTATATGGAAGCTTGGAGCCTAGGTTCGAGCAAAGTCGATCCCCTCACTATTGTTAATAGATACATTAAACAGAAACTTGTATTTATATAATTATATACGTGAATAGTCACAATAACTTAGGATTAGATCAAATCTCAATCTCATTATTATCGAGTCTCATAGTACAATTACTACTAAAATTTTGTAAAATATTATTTCATGATAGAGCAACATATACATAAGATTGAGAGTTAACCTTTAAAATCAACCAAAAAATTAATGATTTTTAATCTATCTTAACATAAACTTATAATATAGATGCACACTTCTTAGAACATCCCCATTGGTGGGATTTTGGTGAGTTTTTAATAGGTGGAGAATTTTTTATTTTTATTTTTTTTGAAAAATAGGTGGAGAAGTTAATTAAGAAGCATATGCATGATTTGACCAACTTAGGAGCACATCACTTTCTGGGTTGAAAAACAAATTAAGGCATCAGTGTCTCAAGGGATGACAAAACAATGAAAATTCTTAGGATGGATCAAAGAATTGGAGACACATATTTGTATTATATATAATAATATATGATATGATTATATTAATCTATGACTCCATGTGTAAGTTTGGTGCATCTATCCAACAATTTATCAACAAACGTGTTCTTCCACGTAGGAGTTTTTAACTTCTTATATTTGATCATTCCTTACAAAATATTAGATTTATTATAATTATAATAATTATTATTTTAATTAATCTCAAGTCCTTGTTGATCAAGCGGCGAGAATTTTGAATTCTTGTATAAAATTAGTTGTTGAGTGAAAGCTTTAAAGTTCAAATTTAGTATGCTGCTATGTAAATTAAATACAGAAAAGAGTCAAATATGTCCTTAAGCTTTACACTAAAAGTAAATTAGGTACATAAATTTTAAATAAGTTTAATTAAACCTCAAATATATTATTTTTGGTTAAATAAGTCAAATTTACTGATAATTGGTTACCGATAAAATTACACAATTGATTATATTTTTGCCTTTGAATTGATCAGAGAAACTTTACCGAAAAATATCACTATTGACTAAAATAATGGTAGCCTTCTCCGGCGAAGACTATATTTCAGAGAAGCTTTATTAGTATATTATCATCTCAAAATCTCTACTTTCATATCGTGACTCTATTTTCATATCCCATGCTAATTTACACTATCAAGAACAAAACACAATATTGTAAAACATTTTCAAAATTTTCAAAGGGTTAATTATTGCTTCAAAGAAAAGATAGATATAGATGTTTATATATTGCACGGAGTAACACATATGATTACGGATGGACATGACGTACTCATCATTCATTAATTTATGATTTACGTGTTTTTGGACATCATTAAAGAGTTTAGGTTAGGTCATTTCAAGATTTTGATTCTTCTCCACTTTCCGTCAATTCCCGTTGAAAAAAAAAACTTATAATGATGTAGAATAATATAATATCATAATTTAAAATAAAAAGTTGGTCAATAATCTTAAAAGGAGTGATTGAATGAACAAAACATAACTTTTGTATTAGAAACTCACTGGTTCAATTTTTATTAACATCTTTTCAATCAAGTCTATCCATATATATATATATTATACATGACTGAAATTTATCAGCACCATCAAATAATACATATAAATTTTTTTTGTTAGTAAAAAGTCTCAATATCTTTTTTTTTTTTAATTTATTATCTCTCCTTTATTTAATATCTTACCTAACTTTAGTTTATGAACATTCTATATATGTTACGGAGTATTTTTAGACTATAATCATTAATGGCAAGTCATATCACATTATACAAAAAAAAATTTCCCTATGTAGTACTCCGTATTAATTAATAAATGGGACTCAACTAACTTGTACGTAAATCATAATTGATAATTAATTTGATATGTAGTAATAGCTAGCCAATAGCCATAGGCTATAGCCATCACATGTGACTTTAACATGTATGTTTAATTGTTTATGTGATATTTTGAAGTAAATAGTTCTAGAATAAATACCCAAATAGCACGGAAATAGAAAATTGAAAAAAATGCAGAATGGGAGTGAAACACATAAATAGAAGATATATAAAGGAAAAAGTGTGGAATAGGTCACTATTGAATATTTACATATTGTGTAATTGAATTATCAAATAAAAAAGTGTGCAACTGGACAATTAAAAATTCAAATATTGTGCAAATAATATTTTGTACATGTTACTTTCAAGTTTATCTTAAATATGTTGCCATAATGTCATATTATATATAAAAATTATTTTAATTATTATTTTTAAAAATTAAAGAAAAACAATCTTTCTTTTTTTTTTAAAAAAAAATTTTCAAAAGAAGGTGGAGGTAGCAATTTGTGCAATGTTCAACCCCACATGTACACTCTGTGCACAATGAATCTTCATTACTAGTTTCTTTCTAAGAAATACATTTTGAGTTTTTTAACTTATTATCGAAAACAACCCTAAAATGCTTTATGGAGGTCCCATAAATTTATAAGAAGAAATATCTTCAAAACTCAAAAATGCTTGCCGACCCTTGAGGGTTTTGGTACATCATAGATGAACTCCCAATTTTTCTAAAATCATCAAGGAAAGCTATGCAAGTTTTTCCCTTGCATCTCGGCCATTTTTACTTTATCATTATTTCGTAATCTCCAGGAATAATACCTTATAACTTCACAGTTACATGGATACTTTATAACTTCACAGTTACATGCAATTCATTTTCTCATTATTTTGGGTTCTTCATGTGATGTATATATGGTTAGCATATTATGTAGTCTTGCACATTGCAAGATGAATTGAAGAGTAAAATTCATAGTACAATTTGATGTGAAAAGTAAAGAGGGAGGGCAGGGAGACAAGCAAGGAGTTGCAGATGATGGAGTTGCCAACTGGTTATGAGGAAACAGTTGCCACTTGGCTATGGCTGGGTTGTATATGGGTGTCCCAATTGCAAGAATTGGACAAAAAAGTTAGGCTCAGCTCCAATCTATTATTATTATTATTTCCTCAACTGCATCCTACACTCCAAGGATATGATTGATGCCTGCCAATAATTGATGAAACAAAAATGAAACATTCGATATATTAAGCCATCCATTGCCATGTGTTTGAAGAGACTAATGAGTGTTTGCCGTTTGGTAAATAGTTGTTAATTGATTCGATTAGTAGATTTGACTAGTTGATCGATAACATTAGCTGATTGTAGAAAGATGTTTGGTAAATTAGTTGTTAGCTATAGTTGATTACATACAAAATGAATTTCTCAAAAAGTTCGATAAAAAAAAAAAAAAAAAAAAACTGCTTTGAACAACTTTTTGAATTTTAACATTTTGGAGCAATAAGCTTTTATAAAAATTAAAAAATTAAAAAAAATTAATCAAACATTTATATTGACTGTTTAACCGAGTTAAACAGTTAATAGTGATCAAATAAGTCTAACTGATAAATTAACTATGTTATCAACCATGGTCCATGGCCAAAAATGCGAAACATAAACACAATATCATATCGTGAAGGAACTATTTTTAGTATCACTACCGGAATAGATTTTGCAAATTAAATGTAGTATTATATTATATTGGTCCCTAAGGTTTAAGTAGCAGTCATTGTTTTCATGCACCCTGGAATGAACTAAGATTGAAACCCACACAAGATAAAAGAAATTAGGTATGTGTCTTT